TGCATATGTGTGTGTATGATATGTGCACATGTATGTGTGTATGTGTGTTTGTGCACACATGCACTGTGGCTGGGGGTCACATATAGAGGTCTGAAGACAATCTCGAGAGCCCATCTTCCTCTGTGTTCTAGGCAGAGTCTCTTGTTAGTACTGCTGTGTGTGCCTGGCTAGCTGACCTGTGAGCTCCTGGGGAGTTTTCTGTCTCCACCTCCACCCCATTGTTGGACCACTGGGATTACAGACGTGCTTTCCTGGGACCAGCTTTATGTGGGTTCTGGAGATCAGAACTCTGGTCCTCACACTTGTGTTACAAGCGCCTTACCCACTGAGTTTTCCCCAGCTCGTCACTTAACAAATGACAGTTTGTCACTTGGCTCATATTAAGCTTATGGCTCTAAAACTACATGAACAAACACAGCCCATTTGTACAGTTTCTTTCTCTTTTAACGATCATGTACCCTCTGTTTATAGGCCTGCTAGTCATCTCTTGAATCCAAATGCAAGTCTTTACATTTTCCATGTAATATTTCACTTGGATGCTCTGCCTAGAGAGAGGAAAGGTCCTTTGCCTGTATCTATTGCACCCTTGAGTAAAGGGGAGGGTCTCTCAGAAAGAAAGGACTGTATCCGTTCAGTAGTCTATTGAATCATTTATAGTGTGCTGAGTGACCCTGTTTCCAGTGTTGTGGTCCCTGGAGATTTGATCATCATCCTCTGGGTGCTAACACTGCTGATCCTGCCCCCAGTCCCTGGCTGGTGAACTCCTTATGGGAGCAGGAGGAAGACAGAGAACCCCTGGATGCATCCAAGCACAGGGCTATTCAATCATTGTCAGGTTGTAATTGGCAAATTCGAAAGCACAGGAGTGTTTCCCTGTTTTGTGCTTAGAGCTTGTTATCAGCCTGGGTTTAATTGCAATAGGATTTATGGCCACTGCCCACAGGAGGGGATAGATAGATCTCTGTCTCTTTCATCCTCTCTGGCCACAGAGGGGTCTCAAAGGAGGGGGAGAGACGAGAGGGGCAGGGTCTAGAAACGCAGCCAGCCACTGAGGTCGCCCTAAGAGCTCCCAACATGAATCTTCATAGCTTCCATGGCATAGGTAGCTGCCTTCTGAACCTCATCTCTTTGCTGAAGCCTAAGAAGACAGGGAAGAGAGGTCCCAAATCTCCATTTTACAGAAAGGGAAACTGAGTCAACAATGGATTATGGGCCAGTCAGGGTCGCTGGGGGAAAGTCACGAACAGAATTGGGTTGGAATCTGGACATAGGTTCTGATATCCCTGTGGAACACACGTTGCTCTGGCATTAGCCATGGTGGTCCCATCCCTGCTGGTCCCATTCTCTCTTGCATCATTATTGATGAGATAGTGCAAGAGACACATAGTGTGCCCTGAAGCCTGGAAGTGCTCCTCCCGGTTCCTGCTGTGATGACTGAGGACATGCTGTGTGAAAGATGCTGTTGCAAGGCACCAAGCAATGTGGGAATACACCTGGCTTTTCAACAGGAACGGTGGTGACAGTGTGAGGAATCACGCGGCCTGGAGGCTCATCTTAATGACAGTCCTAGACACGAGAAAACACCAGTACGTGGACCTGTTGTCTTATGGAGCCAAGGTGAGGGGCTCTCAGGAAAGGGCTCTGTTAGTTACTTTCCGTATCCCGGTGACCAAATGCTTCACAGAAACCAACTCTCGGGAGAGAGAAGGTTTTAGCTCGTTGTAGCAGGGAGGCATGATGGTGGTGGGTGTGAGGGGCAGTGACTATTTACAGAGTCCCGATGCACAGAGCAAGAAGCAAAGGCCCCCTTCCAGAACCACACTTCAAAATAACATCGCAAGCCGGAGCTGGAGTGTTCAAAACATGGGCCCGTGAGGGCCGTTTCAAACCCAGACCATAGCGAGAACTGACCTAGTCTCCCAGCCTCTTACTGAAATTTGTATTTATTTATTGAACGGGCTCTCACTGTGCTGCACTGGCTGGCCTATGACTCTCTGTGTAGATCAGGCTGCCTCTGCCTCCCCAGTGCTGGGATTAAAGGTGCACACCACACCAGTGTGTCCAGTCTTTCTTCCGTCTTTCTCCCTCCAGTTTTCACAGTTTTCTCCTGACTCAATTACCAAGTGATAAATTTCTTTCTTGTGTGTGCCTGTGCAGAGTCCATGGGTTTGGAGGTCAGAGGTCAACCTTAGGTGTCATGCTTCAGGGGCTGTACACTTGCTTTTCGGCACAGCCTGGAGCTCCCCGAGTAGGCTTCATTGGCCGGCCAGTGAACCCCAAGGAGTCAACTGCCTCTGCCTCCCCGGCACTGGGCTGAAAGTGTGCACCACCCTGCTTTGCTAGAGTTCTGGGGCCGGGGCTTAGGTCTTCCTGTTTACAAGGCCAGCCCTTTATTCACCGAGTCTTCTCGCCAGCCTCTCCACTGATCGATTTCTATCAGTTATTTACTGAGGACCTACTGTGCAGTGGGCACCCATCCAGGTGATGTGTTCGTAGTCAGGAATACAAAGATCCAGTCTGTGGCCTCTGGAACACAGAGGCCAGGCCTCACTTGTGTCGGGGGCAGGGGCATGCAAGATAAAGCACTTAGGAAAAGGGTGATGTTTGTTCTAACAGAGCAAGGATGGAGGATGGCAGGGTCACTTAGGAAGGGTTTGGGACTCAGCCTGGGAGGGTAGGTTTCCTAGATCAGACTCAAATAAGTTAATAAATAAATAAATAGTTAAATAACATGTTAGTATCAACATGGATGAAGGGGCGTGTTTGGGAGCTATAGTGAGAGAGGAGAAAGCTGAGGGCAAGAGAGGACGTGGGTGGAGGAGAGCCTAGGGAGGCAGGCGGTGGACAGATCATAAAGGGTATTAAGAGTCCTGTTAGGAAGGGTTTGGTCATTAGCCTTATTCCAGACAAGGCTGCTGAAGAGTGAGAAGCAGGGGGGACCCTGATCCCACATTTGGTCTGAAGGGTCTTCCAAGTGGGGTGGAGAGTTTGGGGGAGGGGCTCGTGTTGGAGAGTATGGGGGAGGGGCTCATGTTGCAGGGGTCCTCCAGATTCTTGGGTGCTTCCGGCTTCACCAGAGTGGTCCATACAAGAGGACCACTTTGATGAGTGAGTCAGGAACTTAGGAGACGGGGGCAGACTAGAGCTGTTCCCCTCTTGCTAACCCTGGGCCGCTACTGCTGACCAGCTCTAGGAGCCCAGTCGGAGGATGGGTAGTCACTGAAGTCAGGAGCACATTGCTAGTGTGGAAGGAAAAGCAAGCCAGGGCAGACCCCAGGGAGCACCAAGCTGGGAGCACAAGCAAGAAAATGGAACCCGAAAATGGCCCAAGAAAAGGAAGCCATTCTGGGGAAGTCACATATTCCACCGAGAACGTGTGAGTGTTGGTGGGCCTCTCTCAGAAAAACGAAAAGGCACAAAAAGCAGCTGGGAGCCTCTCCCAGTCTGCTAGGTGAGCTCGGGTAAAGACATACTGGTTTAGGCTGAGTCCTCCCCACCCCCCACGCCCACTTCCATCCCTCCCTCTTTCCTCATTGCTGGGTTTCTCTTTCCTGGACATGCATTTTCCCCACCCA